TGATTTTGCCGACTTTGACTCCCATTTTAGGCCAATTACATTATTCCAGTCAACCAAATTCTTAGCTATTTCACTAGTATTACTTCTCTTCTATCGATAGAGCACAAGAAATCGCCAAGTCAACTGTTTCAACTACAAATTAAAGTGATCGGAAATTGTTAATTTGGCCAATTTAACACAAAGGTCAAAATATTCCAATTTCAAAATAGGGTCCAGAATAAACAATGTAGGTATTCCTGGAACTAAACTAACATTTCTTCTGTTCATTAGTTACGTTTTGAGGCTTTACAAATAAATTCCATTTTGATTTTTTTTCACATAATGAATTTTTATTCACACCAAAAATAGAAGACTTACTGTTATGCAATACTGTAATAATTGTATAAATATCATCACCATATTTGTGAATGCATATTAGACCCACCAGCTGGCGTGTATTAGACGTGTGAGGTTGTTTGTTTACTCTTGAATATCGGCAAAAATTTAACATTTCTGCTAATTTGAGCTCAGTTTCAAGCCATTTCCAGTGCTAAAACCAATCAAAATCATCTCTATTTCTATAATATGTCTTCCATTCTATCAAAGGAGACCAAGAAATCGCAAATAGAACTATAAAAAACATACGAAAAAACACTGCAAAGTCGCTATTTTAATCGAAAAATCATGATTTCAGTTTTTTTCTCTCATACACAGCGTGCTGCAGGATCTGTTTTATGTGGTGCATACATACCACATAGATGTATTCTCTCATATCTAGGCCCAAATGTACCACTCACAGTTTATCAGAGTGAGCTGAGCTCATGACGTAGATCTACGGTTTGGACCCTGAACGTAAAGCCGTAGATCTACGGGACGGACCCTCAAAGGGTTAAAGTGCAGGCATTGTACTTCCCATTTCCAGGACTCAAGTCGACTATATGAAAATAACTGGTTTCCCTGAATCCCTTCACTAAATATTACCCTGCTCACACTCCAAGAGATCGTCAGATCCCAAGTACCATTCGTCTCCATTCACTCCTATCTAACACGCTCAAACACGCTTGCTGGAAGTCCAAGCCCCTCGCCCACGAAACCTCCTTTACCCCCCTCTCCAACTCTTTCGAGGATGACCTCTACCTCGCCTTCCTTCCCCTATAGATTTATATGCTTTCCATGTCATTCTACTTTGATCCATTCTCTCTAAATGACCAAACCACCTCAACAGCCCCTCTTCAGCCCTCTGAATAATACTTTTATTAACTCCACTCCTTTTCCTTATTTCCACACTTCGAATTTTCTGCATAATATTTACACCACACCCTTAGACAGGACATCTCCACTGCCTCCAACCGTCTCCTCGCTGCTGCATTTACCACCCAAGCTTCACATCCATATAAGAGTGTTTGTACTACTATACTTTCATACATTCCCTTTTTCCCCTCCATAGAAAATGTTTTTTGATCCACAAAACCCCTCAACGCACCACTCACCTTTTTTCCTCAAATTTCTTAATTTACCTCATCCTTCATAAATCCATCCACCGCACGTCAACCCCAAGTATCTGAAAAACATTCACTCTTCCATACCCCTCCCCCCCAATTGATACCAAATTTTTTTTTATCAAATCATTTGTACCCTCTCGCCTTACTTTTTTTTATTTTCCACTTTCAACTTTCCCCTTTTACACCTTTCCCAAACTCATCCACAAACCCTTTTGCAGTTTTTCTTTAAAATTTCCCCATAAGCACATTTTCATCAGAAAAAAGTAACTGTGTCTTTCCCATTTGAATTTGATTCCCCATAATTAATCCCACCCTCTCCCGAACCCCAGCATTACTTCTTTTAAAAACCCATCTATAAATATTAAACAACCAGGTAAATTACACATCCCTGTCAAAGCCCCTTTTTGGGGGGGAAATAGCCCTCCCTCTTTTTCTACACACCCAAACCCTACCTCCTTCCCATAAAAACTCTTTAAGCTTTTGTAACTTACCACCCTTTTCCCATATTTTGAACATCGCCACATTGCTACCTTCCATCTTATATCCCTTTTTTTAAATCCATAAATGCAAAAAAATTCCTCCCCTTTATCTAAATATGTTTCACATTTATGCTTCAATTTAAAACATTTGATCCACACCCCCTACCCACTCTAAAACCCCTTTCTTTGCTCATTCGAAATCCTACATTCTGTCAAATTTTTCAATTAAAAACCCTCCCGTTCATTTTTTCCGGGTATACTCAGTAAACTTTTTCCCCAAAAATTTTTACAATCTCTTTTGCTCCTTTTCCTTTATAAAAAAGGGACTATACTGTCTCCCCAACCCCTAGGACCTTTCCCCCTCTTTCATACATTTTTAAACAAAAGCCCCAACCACTCCAACACTATACCCCCTCCTGTTTTTAACATTTATGTCATGATCCCCAGTTCTAGCGCTTTACCCCCTTTCATTCACGAATCCCTCACGTACCTCCCCCCACATTAATTCGCTTTCTTCGCTCCAAAAAAGATGGTATAACCCCCCCCTCCCAGTCTAAATTTTTCCTTACATTAAAAAAATTTCCTCAAAAATATTCTCGCCATTACCAATACCCCAAACTCCCCATCCCCAAAACTCCCCTACCTTTTTTAACTGACAAACCATATTTTCCCTACCTTTTTTAAACTTGTTTAAACTCACCCCAAAAAATTTTTTTTTTTCTTTTAAAATTTCTTACAATCCCTCTCCCACTCTACACCCGTTTCTTTTGCCCCTCTTCACCACCCCTTTTCACCGTTCTTTTACTCTCCCTTACTTGCCTTCTTATAAAATTGCTTTTTAAAAACCTCTCTAAGCACCTTTTCTCTTTTATCACACCCTTTACTTCGTCATTCCCCCAAACACTCCTTTCCCCCCTGCCCCCACCCCCCTATAACCACAAATCTGCCCACATTTAATACTGATTTTTAAAACTTTCCAACCCCCTTCAACCCCCCCCCCCCCTACTCATCTTTTCACTAGCCCCCTTTTGCAGTAGCGTATATCTCACCCAACTTCCTCCCCCTTAGTTATACCTTTCACCTCCCCTTACTTGTTGTTCCACCTTCCTCTTTTCCATCTATCTTTCCTAACTGTAGCTACAACTAAAAAATGATTGATATATCAGTTGCCCCCCTATAAAAATGCACTCCCGGGGCCCACCCATCAACCTTTTATCCCCCAATACATAACTAACAAACTACTTTATTACGTGCTACTCTACCTTGTAATTTATTTATCCTTTTTTTTATAAAATATGTATTTTTATTCCCAAAAATCTTTCTACACTAGCTCAATTAAAAGGGCCCCATTTAATTTACCCTGGACCCCAATTTATCTACTTTTTCCCTCCAAACTTTTTACCCGCTTTAACATTTTAAATCCCCCAACCACCATTTCTCTCACATTGATCAAAACTCCCCATGATTCCTCAACTTCCCCGAATCTCTCCTTCCTCTACACTTCTCTCTTTCCAGGTGATTTCATTACTATTAACCCCCCTTTTCACATCCAATCTTTATTTTATCCACAAATCCTTTTAAAAAAACCTTTTGCCCTCTTTTCCTGCCTAACTTTTCCTTTAACATTTTGCACTCCTTCTTTTGCCTTTAAATTATTTTTAAATCCCCGACCTAACCCCATTTTTTCCCCCCATTGAAACTCTCCCCCCCCTTTAGCTTTTTTTCACTTAAAGCCGGGCATCCAGTTTTCTCATTTTCATCCACAATTCTCTTCCCTTATCATTTGCACAACATCCGCACATTCAGCTTCCCCATTTATTATTATTTTTTTTTGTTGTTGTTATTATTATTTTTTTATTATTATTATTATTATCTTATTATTTCATTATTATTTGCAAACGAAATGTTCGATTCTTTGCCGTGTTCAAAGTAAACAAAAAGATGTCACCGTCCAGTACCTTCCAAAAGCCTTTCCCTTATCAGTCGAAAGGGTTGCATTATTATACTGTATTTAATAGAAAAAAATGAATAAAACAAAACACTCACCCCCACTAGTGAGGGCGGGCGAGTTGGTGCCAGTTGCGGGGGTGGAGGGGGAGTAGTGGGCGCACTGGGGGCGGAACTTAATTTTTATTTGGCGGCTGGAATTCGGAATGTGTGAACCCCGAAGTTGAAAACGAGATGTTGGGGAGGCCTGCTACATGTGATGCTGCTTATAAAAATGTTCAAGTTTACAAACTGTGAAAAAATGCCCTTTAAATTTTCATTCACTTTATTTTATCTTAGGGTACATGTAAAAAGGATTACACATACCATATTTTGCGGCTTGTAAAACTCGGCTTATAAGACTTGTTTTAGTTTCAATGGCTCAACATCGGACGTAACTGGAAGAGCTACAGCCCATCCCACACCCCAGACTTATAGCTCCCGTCACTTATTCTGTAGAAGTGTGTACTTTTTGCAATACATAAGTAATGTTAATGGAAGTAATAGATTCATATTGGATAAGTTTAGATTTAGAAAATATGTAGTAGAGTACTGGTTCAGTAATAGTGTGGTCAGTAAGTGCAACAATCTGTCATGCTGGGTTATTGAAGCTAAAACATTAAGTAGTTTTGAAAATCAGTTAGATGTACATAAGTGAGAAGGGTTGGATATGATTGGGACCTGCAGATAATGGGTTAGTAGGGTTCTTGAAGCTTAAGTGTTGAGGGGGGAGTTTTGAGTCTCTTTGATATTAGATTGGAAAAACATTTGAGTGGAGGTGGTTAGCTTTGTGGAGGACCTGCCTAGTATGGGCCAGTAGGCATACTGCCTTGTTCCTCCATTCTTATGTTCTTGTATGCCAAGACCATACTAGCATGCTTTCATTAATGTGACTTTTTAAGAGGTTACCATAGTGACTACCCTGTTTATAAGTATAGATCATTTGTGTATATTAATGCAATATATATATATAATTTTCTTGACAGGTTGTGATTTCACATTCACAAAGAATTGGAAGAATTTCTTTAATTCAAACATATTACATATCTTTAAGGTACGGGAACAAGCTATAGCCACATCTGGATACCTTTGTGTAGGTCAACAAGAATTTCCACATAAAAAGAAAATTTTAGAATCCCTGTTGGCTCTGGCTAAGGAGGTAAGCTGTGTTACATTGTATTTTACCCTTTCCCTTCACTCATATTCTTTTATATATTTCTTTTCCCTTTCCCCATAGTTTTCTCTTCTTATTAGTACATTTTGTATTTAGATCTACTAACATTAGTTTGCTTTAAATGTCTTTGCTTTCAAACTTCCATTTACATAATTATTTCTTAGCACTGTTTTTACCTCTGTTCACTCCATATTTAGGAGAGATTTATTCTTCCATTTTGTTGCAAATTTTACTGGTGTAGTTTTTATATTAAACATAAATTATTTGCAGACAACTGAAATTGAGGTTCATTTTGCTGTTGGCGAGTCGCTGGCAGACTGTGCTCTCGGTACCGAGTCACCATCAGGAAGAAACTTATGGACTGACGAGGATCCCATGAAAGAAAAGACAGTTGAAGAGCTAGAAGAAAACATGGAAGAGGTAAGTTCCTTGTATTAGTGTTGGTCAGTTGTTACATGAGGAACTCAACTCAACTCAGGTCACTAGTTAAAATTTTGCAGCTTAATGGATGAATACATGAAGAAATTTGTAATGGGGAATTCCAAGAAGCATCTGACATCAGATGAAAATTGTAAGTGGATTCATATAAAATTTTATTATTGTGGGACTATTGCTTCAGGTATTTATTAGAGGAGTGGCCTGGATATATAGGCAGGAATGTTGAGTGTGCTAGGATATTATTAACACAGGCATTTCCCCACAAAAATTTAGATTGGAGATTGTTATTTTTTTTTATTATTATTAAACACACAGGCCATTTCCTACCAAGGCAGGTTGGACCAATAAAAGAAAGGAAACACTTTCATCAGCATTCACATCCATCATTGTTTTGCTAGAGGCACACCTACAGTAATAACAACCCCTCCTTCATAGTGCAGGCACTTGTACTTCCACCTCAGGACTCAAGTCCGGCTAAACCGGTTTACCTGGAATCCCTTCACAATGTTATTTGCTCAAACTCAACAGCGCACATCAAGTTCAAAAAACCACTTCTCTTCCACTCGCTCTATCTAGCACACTTGTGATACTTGCTGGAGGGTCAAGCCTCTTGTATACAAAAACCTCCTTTACTCCCTCCCTCCAATCTTTCCTAGGATGACCCCTACCCCACCTTCCTTTATTACAGATTATATGCTCTCCATGGTCATTCTATTTTGTTCTGTCTCTTTAAATGTCTAAACTACCTCAGCAACCCTTCCTCAGCCCTCTGGATAATGTTTGTGAAACCCCACACCTTTAGCTCCTAAGCTACAGATTCTCTGCATTATATTCACACTGCACATTGCCCTCAGACACAATTTCTCCACTGTCTTCAGCAACTTTGACAACCATGCTTCAACCCATATAAGTGCGTCGGTACCACCATAACTCTCCTACATTTCCCTCTTCGCTTCCATGGGTAATGTTCTTTTATCTACCAGACTCCTCAGTGCTCCACTAACTTTTCCTCCCTCATCATTTCTATGATTCACCTCATCTTTCATAGACCCATTGGCTGACAAGTCTACTCTCAGATATCTGAATGCATTCACTTCTCCATACTCTTCCCTCCAAATCTGATATCCGTACTTTCATTACCTAAATTTTTGTTATCTTCATCACCTTGCTCTTCCTGCATTCACTTTTAATTTCCTCCTTTTCCATACATATTCTATTGGTTTTGCTTTTAATATATTTGATTATGTACATGTATTTGTTTATTAAACATTTACAGGGGGGGGGGGGTGGGGCTTGCAGAGATGAAAAAGTAAAGATGCAGATGAAGCCATGGAGAAGGATATGTAGAAGTTAGAAGAAAGTAAGTAACATGAGTGTGCCAGATATGCACACATTGTTGTTTAGCTTTTATATAGGGCCTTTATATCCATTGCTTACTTATGTAAAGAAATCAGTAAAGTGGTTAGTTGATTTAGCACCTAAATGTCGTTTATACTGAGTATCTTTCAATACAAATAAATAAACAAGTAAAAACCCCTGTATGACTCAATTTTGTGTCAGTAGTGCCTCTCAGAAGAGTTAAAATGCAGTACAGTTTATTACATGGTACACAAAGTTAATGTTTGTTTTCACCTTTCGAGTCTGGGTAGTAACTTATTAGACTGACCATCCAGGGAGGTACCACCTTGTTGTGTACCACTGTCTTGTTAAAAAAGTTAGAAAAGTGGAAATTTGTTAAAAGATTTACATTCTAGTGAACATGCTCAGTGACAGGTAAAACTTGAAAATTTTTTTCCTGCATTTAGTGAGACTACCTCATGTTAATGCACACTCAAATCCTTACTGCAGGAGACTGGAAGAAGAAAAATAGGGAATGGGAAGAAAAAAATTTAAATACCATTCTGTATTAATTCTGACAGTTATTGGAAACTAGGAATACCTCCTGCAGTTGTGGCGCATGAAACATGTTTTTGTTTTGAGTGGTCTCTTCTGGAATGTGTTAGAATTAAGTAAAGAATTTAAAAAATAAGAATTTGATTGGCATCTTACTTCTGCTCTGGAAAGTCGCACGAACAATAAATAAATTTTTAAAGATTTTGCAGGAGTAAAACAAATTGTGGCATTACAGAAATGTTCCCTCACACTGATGAAGCCATGGATATAAGTGAGGGTGCATCCTCAATTGGGGAAGCACTACAAAACACAGAAGCTGAGAAAGATACTCTGACGTGGATTTTGGGGGAACTTCTCGACAAGTATGTTCGACAAACACAACCAAGTGTTAGACAGGTTTGTGACAATGTTCTTTGTTCATATTATTAAACATCTATTTCATGCATTTTATAGTTTTAAGAGCCTTAAAATTCTAGTGTCTACTAGGTGTCCTTGATGGAGGATATCTTACTGCTTAGTTTTTTATTTATTTGATATTGGACATTTATCTTTAGACTACCTAATGTGTGTATCACTATAAGGCCCCATAGGCAAATGTTTAAAATGATTCCATTAACAGTAAACAGGAATATGTTAACTATTATCATTTTTTTCATCAAACTGACCATATCCCACAGAGGCAGGGTGATCTAAAAAGAAAAACAAAAGTTTGTTCTTAAATTTAATACGGCCTCTCTTCATATAGAGATGTACTCGTTTACCGATGACTCGGACTTACGACGGGTTCTCTGACCAGTATCCATACCTAAATAATGTATATTAGAGCTGATTTTCTTTATTCTGTTTATTACAATACAACCTCTCTTCACTTAGCGACGTACTCGTTTACCGATGACTTGGACTTACATTGGGCTCTCTGACCAGTGTGCATACCTAAGTAATGTATATTAGAGCTGATTTCCACTATTCTGTTTATTACAATATACAGTACACTACTGTATAAACATTTAAAAATATAGCAGAAATGTTATAAATGGTGCAAAGGTGACATCAACACAATATCAAAGATGGTGGACACAAGCTGACTACCATTATAGTGTGCTCCTCACTTAGCGATGAATTCGTTTACCAATGTGGTCTTAGGAGCAGAACTCCATCGTTAAGTGAGGAGAGGCTATAATGTACACAGGAAAACGGGTTACTAGCCCCTTGCTCCTGGCATTTTAGTTGCCTCTTACGACATGACATGGCTTATGGAGGAAGAATTCTATTCCACTTCCCTATGGAGAAGTATTATCATTACCATATTTATTTTGTTTGTTATTTAGAGTTTGCACATACAATAGATCATCTATTAACCCTTTCAGGGTCCAAGGCCCAAATCTGGAGTCACGCACCAGTGTCCAAGAATTTTCAAAAAAAAAATTTGTTATTTTTTCTTATGAAATCGTAGAGAATCTTTTTGTGAAGGTAATAAAACAAAAAGTACGAAATTTGGTGGAAAATTGACGAAATTATGCTTTCGCGAATTTTGATGTGTCAGCGATATTTACGAATCGGCGATTTTGCCGACTTTGACTCCCATTTTAGGCCAATTACATTATTCCAATCAACCAAATTCTTAGCTATTTCACTGTATTTACTTCTATTCTATCGATAGCCCCCCCCGTGCACAAGAAATCTGCCAAGTCAATGTTTCAACACAAAATAAGTGATCGGAAATGTCAATTTGCCAATTTAACACAAAGTTCAAAATATTTCAATTCAAAAATAGGGTCCAAGAAATATAAACAATGTAGGCATTCCTGGCACTAAACTATCATTTCCTCTGTTCGTTAGTTTATGTTTTGAGGCTTTACAAATAAATTCCATTTTGATTTTTTATTCTCATAATGAATTTTTTTCCCACCAAAAAATAGAAGATTCTGTTATTGCAATACTGTAATAATTGTATTAATATCATCACCATATTTGTGATATATATTAGCACCACAGCGTTGACGTGTATTAGATGTGTGAGGTCGTTTGTGTTACTCTTGAATATCGGCAAACATTTAACATTCGTACTTCGAGCTCAGTTTTCAAGCCATTTCCAGTGCTAAAACCAATCAAACTCATCTCTATTTCTGTATATGTCTTCCATTCTATCAAATGAGGACCAAGAAATCGCAAAATACATATCCTGACTATAAAAAACATACGAAAAACACTGCAAAGTTGCTGTTTTAATCGAAAAATCATGATTTCAGTTTTTTTCTCTCATTGTACACAGTGTGCTGCAGGATCTGTTTTATGTGGTGCACACATACCACATAGATGTATTCTCTCATATCTAGGCCCAAATGTACCACTCACAGTTTATCAGTAGTGAGCTGAGCTCATGGCGTAGATCTACGGTTTGGACACTCACCGTAAAGCCGTAGATCTACGGGACGGACCCTGAAAGGGTTAAGATGGTAATTTTTTTTTTTTTCAACAAACCGGCCGTATCCCACCGAGGCAGGGTGGCCCAAAAAGAAAAACAAAAGTTTCTCTTTTTAAATTTAGGAATCTATACAGGAGAAGGGGTTACTAGCTCCTTGCTCCCGGCATTTTAGTTGCCTCTTACAACACGCATGGCTTATGGAGGAAGAATTCTGTTCCACTTCCCCATGGAGATAAGAAGAAATAAACAAGAAGAAGAACTAGAAAGAAAATAGAAGAAAACCCAGAGGGGTGTGTATATATATGCTTGTACATGTATGTGTAGTGTGACCTAAGTGTAAGTAGAAGTAGCAAGATGTATCTGAAATCTTGCATGTTTAAGAGACGGAAAAAAGACACCAGCAATCCTGCCATCATATAAAACAATTACAGGCTTTCGTTTTACACTCACTTGGCAGGACGGTAGTACCTCCCTGGGTGGTTGCTGCCTACCAACCTACTACCTATAAAGATGGTAATTACGTTCCAGAAAATGGCGTCTGTTTCAAAGTTCTGAGTTTGAGTCCTATTTTAAGCCAGTTTCATTGCTCATTTCAACCAAATTCTTAACTATTTCATTCTGTCATGATGACTTACTATCTTCAATCCAAACTCACTTTCTTCTATAGAGATTGGGCAATATTAAGATGCAAAAAAATGTCATTTAGGCATAGGACACCTCATGCATAATTCCTGGTGTTCTTCTTTCAACACACTGGCCATATCCCACTGAGGCAGGGTGGCCCAAAAAGAAAAATGAAAGTTTCTCTTTTTAAATTTAGTAATGTACAGTAGGGCCCCACTTATACGGCAGTTTAGGTTCCAGTCTACCGCCATAAAGCGGAAAGTGCTGTAAAGTGGAACACCCTTTTTTTTCACTTATAAATGTATATAAATACTAGATAACAAGTTTACACGAACATATATTAAGTTAGCAATAGAACTAGGCATTAAAAAAAACAATAAAAAAGTAAAATACACATACATGTATAGTACATTCATTACTTACCTTAAAATATTTGTAGTCTTAATCTAGGGTGAGATGAGTAGTATGTATGGTAGTCATCCAGGCTACCATACCAGGCCACCCGACCCACACATAATACGTATTCTACGACATTTATGCATACTAGAGCGATAAAATGTATATAAAGTTCACTCATTATTTACCTTAAAATATTTGTAGTCTTAATGTAGGGTCAGAGGTGAGTAGCATTTATTGTAAGAAATCAAGTGTGGTGTGTATGGTAGCCAGCCAGGCTACCATACCAGCCCATTCCACCCCCACAATATTCTTTGACATTTAAGCATCCCAGAGCGATGAAATACATATACAGTTCACTCATTACTTACCTTAAAATGTTTGTAGTCTTAAACCTTTCAGGGTTTTGGCCATACTAGTACGGCTTACGAGCCAGGGTTTTTGACGTACTAGTATGCCTAAATTCTAGCGCTCTCAAATCTAGTGAGATAAAGCTGGTAGGCCTACATATGAAAGAATGGGTCTATGTGGCCAGTGTGCGTGGTATAAAAAAAATTCTGCAGCACACAATGAGTAATGAGAAAAAAAAAAAAGTTGACCGTGTTTTTGCTGAATTAAAACAGTGAATTTGCACTGCATTTTCGTATGGTATTTATTGTTGTATTCTAGTTTTCCTGGTCTCATTTTATAGAATGGAAGACATATTACAGAAACTGAGATGATTTTGACTGATTTTACAATGAAAAGTATCTTGAAATTGAGCTCAAAGTAGCAGAAATATTCAATTTTTACTAAAATTCGGAGTGTGGAAATAGGAGAAGGTGTGGAGTTAATAAAAGTATTATTCAGAGGGCTGGATAGGGTTTGTTGAGGTGGTTTGGTCATTTAGAGAGAATGGATCAAAGTAGAATAGCATGGAGAGCATATAAATCTGTAGGGGAAGGGAGGCGGGGTAGGGGTCATCCTTGAAAAAGTTGGAGGGAGGGGGTAAATGAGGTGTTGTGGGCGAGGGATTTGGACTTCCAGCAAGTGTGCGTGAGCATGTTAGATAGGAGTGAATGGAGACAAATGGTATTTGGGACCTGACAAGCTGTTGGAGTGTGAGCAGGGTAATATTTAGTGAAGGGATTCAGGGAAACCGGTTATTTTATATAACCAAACTTGAGTCCTGGAAATGGGAAGTACAATGCCTGCACTCTAAAGGAGGGGTTTGAGATAGTGGCAGTTTGGAGAGATAAATTGTGTATTTTTATCCGTACACCTACCATCCGACTTACGACTGAGTTCGGTTACGAGCAACCGGTCATAAGTCGAAATGGTGGTAAGTCGAACTTTACTATTGAATATCAACAAAACATTTTTGTAATGACTATTTTATTGTTTTATTTTGGTACTTCATGTTTTACTTTACTTCTTTATGTGTTAGTACTGTATTATATTTTATACTGTAAGGTTTAGGAATAAACACTTGTACACACAAATAGTTTGTTATTCCCAGATATTTGGCATAAAAAAACACGGTCGTAGTCGAGTGGTCGTAAGTCGGAGCAGGTCGTAAGTCGGGGGTAGGTGACGGATAGATTATTAAAATTACACAATTTATCTCTCCAAACGCCACTATCTTAAACCCCTCTTTAGGTGCAGGATTGTACTTCCCATTCAGGGACTCAAGTTTGGTTTTTTAAAATAACGGTTTCACTGAATCCCTTCACTAAATATTACCCTGCTCACACTCCAACAGCTTGTCAGGTCCCAAATACCATTTGTCTCCATTCACTCCTATCTACATCTCACGCCCACACTTGCTGGAAGTCCAAATCCCCGCCACATACATCCTCATTTACCCCTCCCTATCTCCAACTTTTTCAAGGATGACCTACCCCGCCTCCTTCCCCTACAGATTTATATGCTCTCCTTGCTATTTACTTTGATCCCTTCTCTCTAAATGACC